GTGAGCTTAGCGTAGTCATGCAGCCTGCTGCTGGCTGCAGGGTCCAGCTCTGACCAGCCACACCAGTGAGCATCTCCTGAGGGACCCGAGGTCTCCTTAGCTGCTCCCCGGCTCTGCATCGGTTTTCCTCTGGTTAAGGGATGAATCATGACTGGAATGTACAGTCAGCAGTAATGCAGAGCAGTATGGGTTATTTGGTCATATTGTAGGAGGGCGCCTTAAGGAAGGACAGTTTGCATCCTCTCTGTCACTCGTGCAGGTGGCAGCATGTTCCACTTCGTGTTATATTTATTTTTAAAGGGCTTTTCAGTTCTTTTTCCCAGCTTTTTGAGACAGTAGGATAAACCTGAGCAGGATTGGGCCATTGGTGTCTATCCTGCTCTCTTGCAGCCTTCCAAGAGCAGCAGGATTGCCTTTGCGCTGCTACCACGCGGCACATGGCAAATGTGAAATTTGTGCCGATGGATTTATAAACCAGCAGCCTAAAGCTCTGAAAGCCTCCACATGAACTTGGCATTTATTGTCTCAGTTTTGGTACATATCATAGCGTCACCATTATGGTCTAAGGTGAATTGTGATTAGAAGTGGGAGACTTGTGTAAAACAGCTTTTGTTTTCTAAACAGAAAGGGACTTTTTACAGCCATGGTGATCAAAGCAACCAATGCTCTGACAGGACTTATTGCTCAAAAGATGGTCTGCGGGAGAGGGGGGATTCGTGTGCAGGCTCTGTACATATCTTAAAAACATATGAGAGTTTTATTAAACATTCTTGAAAATACATTAGATGGTTACAGGATCTAGAAGTGTTGTTGCAAGAATGCCCGTTTTATTGTAAATAATTGCATGTATGTTACTTTATCCTCCTGATTGCACTGGTTTTGGTTTGGTTTTTTTACCGTAAAAAAATAGACACACAAAATGCATGAGTTAAGGATGCAATAGTAACAGAAGTCCTTTTCTTCCTCCTCTCCATATGGTATACCTGAAATGATACTCTCTTTATCAGATCCTGCCATCAAAGGTTAATTTGCAGCTCCTCAAATGTTTTGGTTTTTTTTTTTTTCATGTGTGTGTCTTTTAGCTTGCAGGAGTCATTCAAAGGTTTGATTTAAATGAAGCACTCTTTGTGTTAATTTTCTGTTTGCCCTTTTTCTCTGAAAAAAAGCCCCGGACCTGTTTCTAAGGTAAATTGTGATGGGGTAGAGAAGCGGATGCTTTGGGAAGCTGTGCCTGAAAGCATCCAGAGAGGTCAAAGTAAGGTCACTCCACATGTACCAGGAAACGATGCAAAACTAATCCAGATTTGCTGTTGGAAGGATCTGTTTACATAAGTATTTAAAAACAGATTAGGGCTAACCTGACACTAGATTACTGGGAGTAGTGTAAACATGGCTGAAAGGCGTCAACAGAGCTTTGTCTTTTTGTACTCCAGAGGAGAAAATCTGTCACCAGTAACAAGTTGCCTGGTTTAGGGGATGTATATGGTTTTCAGAGGCTGAACAGATTACCTGAAGTACCTCTAAATGGGACTTTGTCTAGGGCAGATCTCTTAGATCATACAATTGTATGGTAATTTTTTTTAATGGAGAGTTGAGGGACTTGTTTGTAGTCCTTCTTCTCCTGTAACCTAATAGCATCCAGAAGGCTTATGATAGTTCTTTGACATATCGGGAAGAAACTATGCTTCAAAGTATTGTTCTGGTGGTTTGCATTTTGGAAAAACAAACAGAGGAACCATCCATATGCCTTTTGCACTGGAAACACTAATCAACTTGTGGAAGGAGAAAATCCCTGCAAGCGAGGCTGTGTCTCTCAGGGCTTGCTTTCCTGTCTGAAATGCAAGCCCGGGTGCTTGGTTACTTCTGGTCTTAGGTACAGAAATTTGGTGCATTTTCTGTGATGTATTTTGCAGCACAACCTTAATGTGGAAGCAGGCTGCCTTGTTCTGTCTTCAGTCTTTATGACGGTGAGGGCTCTTGCACTGACCTCTTGCCAGCCCTCAGGGCAGCCTGGAGTTTTTTAAGACCTCCTGGCTGTTGTGATCTTATGCCCCTGTACGCACAGCCTCCACCGAGGGGGATCTCGTGCATTGGCTCAGTAGTGATAAAGATGGGTGACACAAATACTGCTGCAAATAAAAGATTTGGATGAGCTGTTTCTATGAGGGCTTTCTTGCCAAAAATTTGAAGGGGGAGTAATTTTCTCGTTGGTTAACTGCTGTTTGTTATCATATTGGTAGCTGAACTGCCACCATGTAGAGGCAGTGAGTTCAGGTTAGTTACCTGTCTGCTTTGGCTTCTCTAGGGAAGAAAAGGAGCGCTGGATACGTGCAAAATATGAGCAGAAGCTCTTCCTTGCCCCGCTGCAGTGCCTGGAGCTTTCTCTGGGCCAGCATCTCCTGAGGGCTACAGCTGAGGAGGATTTGCGGACAGTCATCCTGCTCCTTGCTCACGGGACTCGGGAAGAGGTGAACGAGACCTGCGGAGATGGTGATGGGCGCACTGCCCTCCACTTGGCATGTAGGAAAGGAAACGTGGTGTTAGTGCAGCTCTTGATTTGGGTAAGTAGTTGATGTCCAGAGGAGGGGGGTGATTGGGTTGGCTTTCACTTGGCTTTGTCCCTCAGCAGGACCTCCCAGACCTGCTGCTTGAGGAGTTTCACTTTCACAAAGAGTTTACTGGTGTCCTGAGTCTGGATGTTCCTCACTGCACACTCTCAAAAGACAGCACCATGATAAAAAAGTATGTTTGTGCCTGTCTGCTGCTTGATGGCAAGTAGGGGAGAGCACAGGAAACAAGGAAGTAGAGATCTCCTAGCACCTATTTGAAACACCGCTGTGGCAGATTTTGTTCCACACGTGAGACTCTCTCCACGTTAGAAACCTTTACGTATGTGACCCAGCATTGCTGTGCTCATGTTATCCTGGTATCCTGCCTGCTCCCTCTTCTCCCTCTCCCCATCCTCACTTAAATTCAAACCTGTCTGTCCCGAATCCGCTCCCTCTGTTTTAACGCCCTGTTGGCACTGCAGCTTCCAACAACACATCTCTTCTTTCTGTAGTACGGCGTCGACGTGATGGCACGCGATGCCCATGGAAACACGGCGCTGGCCTACGCCCGGCAGGCCTCCAGCCAGGAGTGCATTGATGTTCTCCTCCAGTACGGCTGCCCTGATGAGCGCTTCGTCCTCATGGCCACTCCAAACTTGTCCAGGAAGAACAATAACCGGAACAACAGCAGTGGAATGATGCCTACCATCATCTGAAGAGCTTGCTCATGTATTTGCTGACCTGAATTACATCCGCAGCCTCATATTCCTCCATCCTCATCACAGCTCTGCTCTGTGAGTCTGGTAACTCTCCTTTTCCCTTTTCCCTTCAGTACGTCCCTGTCCCATCCGGAAATGGCACGTCTGGAGAGCACAAGGGGATGAGAAGGAGCAAAAGGGGCTGCAGAGAAAGCAGTTGTTTCAGTGACAGCTCTCGAACGATGGAAACAAGGGGGCGAGAGCGCATGGGTTGAGCAGGACACGCCGCGCACGGCACTGGGACCATGGGAGAGCAGTCGTCTCCGGGGGGGGGCGGGACGCAGGCTCCCCGAGCGTGGAGGGAGAGGCGAGCAAGAGGAGACAGAAGGAGAGATGGTGACTTTCCATAACTGACAGTTAAGCACATCAGTACATTTCACCTCTACCAAACGCGACGCCTGGATTTCATTCTCTTCTCTGAAGAACTTGACGGCATAAATCAGAAGCAAGCACAGAGTTTGTCAGGTTTGAAGCTCCTATGATGGTATGTGTCAAATCAGTTGTAGCTAATCTGTCCGGGGAGAATACTGGCTTCATTACACTTGTATAGTTGAGTTCTTCCAGCATTACCGCTGTTTAATAGAACATGATTAGTCATCACGGAGAAAAAAGCATATTAGCTGAGGAGGTAGTTACATGGCACGCTTCGGTGATTGCTTGGATGTGATTGCAATATTCTTAGAAGCATCATATTATCTCAGACATGTTCTTTCAAGCCCTTGGAGCCCTCCTTTCTAAATTCACTGTCATAATTTAGTATCTGTTTAATTTTTCAGTCCAAAGAGAGGAAATGAGTAGCTGAGTGTTATTTGACTGCAGTCTCCTTGGTGTAAAAACAAAATGGAAAAAATAAATAAGAGTAACTATGAAACACAAAAAGGAATAATGAATACCGCTAAGGAAAAACATTTCAAGTACATTTAGTGAAATTAATAAACGCATTAAAGGCTAGTATTTTTTCAGCCAGCAGAAATAGGTTCTGTCATTTTGCCAAGGTAAATGTGTTGAGTTTTTGGTCACTCCTGTGATGCATTGCCTAACTTATACAGATTTTTGTATTGTGTCTCTAGATTATATGTATGTAAAATCTATTTGAATAAAAAAAACATAAATATGCATTGATTTTTTTTTTTTGTACAGAAAATGACATTTCTGTTAATTTATAAACTGTAATGGATGTGAACTAAATAATGTGCAACTAGTTAGGATCTGTGGGTTACAGATCATTGTACATTGAAAATATTCCCAGCAGTGAACTCTCGTTTCTTCTCTCAAGCCTTTGAGGAACGTATCAGAAGGAGATTATGGCACGTTTGGCATGGAAAAGAAAAAAAAAAAAAAAACAGAGACCTTTTAGAAAGGAAAAAGAGGCTGTTTCTCAGCCCTGTAAAATATTTTACTCCAGAAGTCACGAAGCTTTCACAAGCCAAGACAAAAAGCCCTAGCCTGGCTGTGGGAAGATCAGATTTGATTAAGTTCAGAATTGATAGCCTTCACCACGGTGGGCAGGGCATGGCTGCGCTTGACTCCTAACTTGGCTGCTTTCTGAAAGAAAAATGGCTTGTGAAAGTAGCCTGGACAGTTCATTTGAATTCCAAGTTTTAATACTTGATTTGATTATTTTGGTACTACCAGACAGATCCCAGCTTCTCCTGTTTTCAGCGAAGTAGGATTCTGGCACAGGGAAGCAGGCTGTATGGTTTTTGGCAGGCAGAAAAGTGATTTTTTTTTTAAGTGGCATATGGCAATGTGAAGATGGGGGAAGGGTATATCACAGAGAAAGTTAAAAACTCAACTGAAATCTATGGCAAAGGAGCAATTATTTGAAGGCAGTGAGGTGCACACAGCATAGTAATTTGCAAATCTACCTGCTCATGTGTATTTCCCAAGCCTTCAGTGGTGCTCTTCCTTGGGGCTCTGGATTTCATTTGGCATGCAAATAGGAGGAGCATAGTGATTGCTACATAAACTGTATGTGGACAAATTATGAAGGGAAAAAAAAATCAGAAAATTACAGATTTGATGTAAGATCACCAAATTGTGGAAGAAAAGCGAGCCTCAGGGTGGAAGCACAAGAATATTGACCAGCTTTTCTTATTTGGTGGTGTTCTCATTTTGTACTTTGTTACTGTATAGACTTTTGACTGTTTGAGGGGGAAATGTTTCATCAACCAGCCTAGGCTGGCTGCATCATCACAGTAAGGCTACAGCTGATTCTCTTCATACTGATACACTTTTAATATTTTTATTAATTGAGGAAGGGTGTCTGTTATAATTGCTATTTCTGCATCATTCCCCTGTAGCTCCTTGATCTTTGGTACTTACGGGTGGTCCTTCAGCAATGGGACAACCCACCTAATGTGCAGCTGAAGGGGATGCTGTGAAGCCTACTGTGTCTTGGTGCTTACGAGCTTTACACACATATGGGGTGGGGGACGCAGCGAGGAATCAGGAATCGCAGCTCGTGGTCCTGGAGGTGCTATAGCTGCCTGCTGTTACCCTGGGAGCATCGAGGGCATTTGTATCTGAAAAACCAAGTCTGACGTTTCAAATACATGGTAGGCAGATTCGCTGCCGTTAAGTTCTCACTGCATGTTCCGTTTCCGAGCTGGTTTTTTTCGTAATTGAAAATATTATTTGTACGTAGTGTAATGTTCTCTTTGGGCCACTTCCCTTTTGTAAAGCTGAGTGATGTTTGAGAAACAAGGGCAACCAGGCTGTCATGCGGATTTCAGGTAGAAGAATTATACGCTCCTTTCATAAAAATTTTCTGAAGGTGAGCATCCACAGAATATTTTTAGGAGAGGAAATTTCACTGTGTTATAGGAAAAGTGATATATCCAGGCTAGCCAACTAATAACTTCATACTTTAGTTAAGCAGTAACACAGTTGCTTTTAACCTAAACATAGGGGTTTTTCCTCTTGGAGGTATAAGCGTTGGCAGTACCTGTGTTGAAGTGGTGTAGAGTATGCAATGACTTCCCCCAAATGTTGGGGTGCAGGGAGGATACCCAGTCACGCATGCAGCAGTGATCCCTTTGAAAGACAGGAGATCACCCAGCACCATCTCTCCAAGTGAGGAGAGACCTTCTCTGGCACTACAGCTGGTAATGGTCCATGCCTCATGGGGTGTTGGCTACAGCATCCACTGTTCAAATGGATTTGGTTGGGTGGCTGTGAGAAGTTGTGTGGCACCTCCTGAACTAATGGGACAGGCCACCTGGCAAGGAACTTGGGCCAGCGTAGGTTCCATCCCTTTCTTATATGGAGAAAGAGAGAAGGGGAGACCCCTTCCCACCACAGCTGAGAGCGGGGGTGGAGGAAGTTCTCTGTGGCTGGAGCCCAGCAGGGCTTGGATTTGGGAGCTGGACTCTGCCTGCTTTTCAGGGGATGCGTTTGCACTTTGCAGAGGATGTTCTTGAAGCCATCCAGGTCCGGAAACAGGCGATATATACCAACACTTAGAGAACCTGCAGGGATCATTCCCCTTGCTTTCACTCTGTTAACCCATCCGTTTTCTGTTCTTCGTCTCACATTTAGCACTTCTCGTTGCTTTTATGGAACCCACTTGCCAGGCTGTTTACGCCCTTTGAGCATGTTATGAGCAAATTAAAACCAAATTGAGGTCCAGTCAATAAGAAATCCCAGCACAAACATGTTAGCTGAAGCTATTTTCTCCAGAAATGGAGTCTGCAGCTGTAGTTTTCATGGCATCCCCCATTTAACTCTTTTCATGATCCCGGATACCTTTAAATCCCCCTTCCTCTGCACTTTATCCACAACAACACTGACACTAGAAGCAAGTCAGCCGTTGCTATTAACATCAGCACTTTCGTTCTATTTATGTTAAGCTAATTGCTGTTGAATGGTGGAGATGAGTCGGATGTGTCGTATCTGGCCTCTGAACCTTGATATTCCTGGAGTTGAGGAGGGTTTACTTCCCCTCGCTATTTATGAAGAAGTAAGATCTAACCTTGGGAAAATTCAGGGTCTTGTCAGTGCAGAGATTTGGCTGAGGGCTCCCATTACCAGATTTCCAATTTTATGGCTAAAGGGGGGCAGGAGAAAAGCTATTTTTGGAAACTTTGGTATATTGTGAGCTAGGTGCTGCTCAGAAAGCCAGGTGAGCTCCTGGAAGGTAGAGAGGATTTTTAAGCATTTGGGCATAGTGTATAGTAACTGTGTAAACATTAATATTGTTTAATTTGCCATTTTTTCCCCGTTCCCTTAAATTATGTGTGTTAGTGCAAAAAAAAAGCTTTAGCTGCACTTGAAGATTCCCCTTGGCCAGAGGAAGTTGAGTAACGTTGGGAGAGAAATAGAGGTGGGAATGCAGATACAGGCTTAGAAATTATCTCTGGCACTGTAATGTAGTATAATTAGATTATATGGGGTTTGGATAGCTTCATCTTTTATATTTGTATGGAGATCGGGAAAAATTAAGTGATTTGTAGTTTCTAGTATAAAATAGTAATAGTGGAGACAAGCACAGATTTCACAAGGGGGTCCCGAAGGGGCCCTTTCCAAATGTCTCGGGGAGCCACGTTTGCACCTTAACAGGGAACGAATGGTTGTTGTGGCTGGAGGGACTCAAGGTAAAGGAGGACAGCGTTGGGGACCAAACTTGGGGCAGCTTGGCTGGGTAGGAGACAGCTTGCCCATCCGCATGTCATCGTCAAGCATCTTCATTTCCCCTCCAGTGGCTGTGTACGTGGGATCTCCAGCTCTTAGTCTTGGATCCTCAGTTCAGCATCTCTTTCCATTCTTGATGATTTGTGGGTAAAATTTATTGCATAGAAAACCGTTTTTGGATGTTCTTGTTTTGCTGCATAGCAGAAAAAAAACCACTCCAGATTAAAGTTCTTTTCAAGGTAGAAAAACACTAACCTACCCCAAATTAAAACGTTCAGCAAAAAGTTTTGACTTCGTAAATTCTAAGCTACAAAAAGAAGGTTGGTTTGAAGGGGTTTATTAGAAAATAATCTCCTCTTTGAAAAAGTATAGAGGTATTAGCAAAATACCCAAAGCTGTAGGTAGGTAGATTTGTTGTATTATGATATCTTAGGTTTTGATTTGTTGTTTAGCGTGGGCCGGTTTTTAAAGTAAATACTGGGTGATCTCATCTCATGACAAATTTACCTTGAGTTGACTGAATCTGTCTCACATTTTCAAGGGAGATTCAAAGGGCTTTGGTCAAGATTTTGAGGAGCTGTGAATAGGTCATGTTTCAAGAGGACGATTGCATGATTTCTGAAAAGAAAAGGTTGCTTTTGGGTTTTTTTCAAGTCATCTTAAGCCCCAAATCACTAGGCGTGCTTCTGGTCATCTTTGCTCCTGTGTTTCGTTTCAGCAATATGTGGGTGACTCTACTCCCGTCATTTACTCCCATTCCCTGAATGTTTGGGGGGACTTTTGCTTGTAGGCGGATGAAATAAAAATGTCTTTGTGCATTTTGGCAGTTTGAGCCTCTTCATCTCTGTATGTCTGCCTGTCTCCCAAATCCCTGTGGCATATTTAGCAGTAAGCGGTCAGTTCTGTTGATGGGCAGAGCTTCAGCTTTCTCTTGGCCATGAACTTTCTGGATATGTGTTTAGCTTCCAGTACTAAGGATTGACTATTTTGCAGTACTTCAGAGCTAGTAATTTTTACCTGTGTGTTATGTACAAAACGTGAAAAGGGGGGAGGGGGGGGGGGGATGCTTACAGAGGTCTAATGGCATGCGTTTGGGATGACAGTGTTACTTGCTGGCAGTGAATGCACCATCAGCTCTTTTTGTGTATGCCCTGTTTTCCAGAACTGATCGGTGTTTTTTTGTTTCTGAGAACTGAAGTAGCTTCCCTGGTCCTGTTGAACAACAAGGTACAGGGCATAAAATCCCTCACAGCAGATAACATGATAGGGTCTGATCTGTGCTGAAGGCAAAGCCCAAGTTCATGCAGGACCAAGGAAGGGTTTTGGTGCTGAGAGTGGGTTGTTATTTGGCAAACTGGAGCTGGGGATGGAGTTGAGTTGAATTGGTGGATGAAGTGCAGTCAAGGTGGTTTGAGTCCTAAGGCGAAGGCGGTGTATCACATGGAGGTCACAAACTACAGGTGCTTTGCATTTGGTGTGCATATATATGCATATATGCTTTGCACACTGCTATTAGCCATTGTGGAAATGTACACGTGCACATTTACACGTTATTCAAAATCTATAGCTAGAGCCAGCTTTTCAGTTAAGATGTTTCTGAACAGGCAAGTTTCCCAGTTTGACTCAGACCAGCCATTTCGAAGAGCGC